AACAAGTGAACACTAATAAAACTGTTATGGACACAATATACTTTAAGCAATGTGCTAAATAAACACTTTATATATGATTTCATTAATCATTACTACTATCATTATAAGACAGTTTACTATCTTCATCTTACAGATGAGGAAAGAAATAAGACTCAACAGTTAAGTAACATGTGCAGTTACAATTTAAATGTAAGTCTGCAATGAATCTATCCCTGTTTTGCCTGCAGAGATCCCCTCTTAAGCACTGTACTATCCTACTCCCTCCACATAGGGTTGAGGTACAACATGAATGAAGCTCTGTAATAATGCTGTGGGACAGATCTTTCTCAGTTCACTCAGTTCTAATTTAATATTCTGAAGAAGTATTAAATAATTACATTAAGAAGATATACTCTGATAATTTTGTAGACACAAATAGTGTAATACTTGTAGCAATAATTTTAGATACTTAAGTTAAAGGGAACACTCAATGTGATAGTCTGCACTACTTTTCTCTATATTGTCTTATGTAACTCATAATTCTTACTAATGTGAAGACTAAATATCATCATTTCCACATAAAAATTGAAGAAACTGAAATTGAGAGACATTCCCCAATCTGGCCAGTATTACAAAGTTAGACAGAAACTGAGCCCATATCTGATGCCAAAGAGTATGATTTAAAAAAAAAAAAAAGTATGATTTTTCCCTACCTAAAATAGCTTACAAAGGCATATACAGGTAGACAATGGGCTGGGATTTAGCTCAGTGGCACTGCACCTGCCTCACTGGGCAGGGTCAATCCCCAGTACCAAAAAAAAAAAGGCATATATAGTTAAACAAACTTCTCAGCTGTCAACAGAAACGTTTACTGAATGCAGAATAAACACTCCTAATTGTGCTTATATGCAAGTGGCCCCCTTAATTTGTAACTTTTTTTCCACTTAACAAAAGGATGGATTTCCAGGTCGCTACATTTAGACCTAAATGGTTACTCAACAAATATTAAATATTAATCATTGTTGTGCCAAAAAAGCACATGGTCTCCTTTCACTAAATCAGACACCTTCTCAAATAAGATTATACATACATACCGGTACATATGACTAATTCTGAGATGTACAAGTACAGATGTGAAGGTAGATATTTCCAAACACACTGCTTACAATTCTGAAATGCCACATTTTTTTAACGCTATTAGTAAATTTAAATATCCTAAATATAGTCCAAATCATCCTTTGGGCCAGAAATCCACTTAGAAGCATGCTATGGAAACAAAAGGTTCAGTCCATAGATTACAAGTATAAGTGCACTTAATGCATCATTTTTACAGCAAAAAAACAAATAATCAACATTCCCATCAACAAAGAAATGGCTGAATAAAGTACATCTGTAGTATGAAATATGCACATACTATAAAAAACCATTTAGATTTATATGAATTAATCTGAAAATATATACACAATTTTGTTAAGTAAAAATAAAGCATGTCGCAGCATTTCATGCAATAGCACACCTCATTTTCAAGCATACACACATTTAAACCCTACATGCACAAAATGTGGAATACAAACCTAACTGTAAAAAATGAATGCATGGGCTGAGAATTGAAGAGGTAAAAAATGAAACTATTAACTTAGAACATTTCCAACATTATTTCTGCATTTACTGATAATATGGGGAATATCACATGAAGCTAGACACATAACTGGCCTCAACAAAAAAAAATCCAATAGGAGAGGACATTTTTTTTCATTTTTTTTTTGTTTAGTGTAACTCCTTTTTGAGTTTGCTTCTACATTATGTCTTCCACACTATTTAATAGCTATTTTATTCTACTCCTTAGAACACATGTTACTATGTAATTTTTACATAACTCCAGACAGCCGGAAAATGCAAACTATTAAATATGCCTGGTAGTTGCATCTTCCTCATTGTTTACAGTTTTTTGTTTTGTTTTACATGCAAGACATTTTATTAAAAACACCAGAACCAAGACAGAACTTTTGTGATTCCAACATAAAAATACCTGTTGATGGGGGCGGGGATTTAGCTCAGTGGTACCAAGCCTGCCTTGCAAGCTCAAGGTCCTGCCTTTGATCCCCAGGTACCAAAGGAAAAAAAAAATACCTGTTGAGTATGTACTAAATACAAAGCACTGCAGTGGACCTTGACAATAACAGTCAAAATAGACAAAAATGTCACCGCCTTTGTAGACCTCAAGAACAGAAGCAATCTGATTTGCTCACAGCCCCACTAAAGTAGAATGCTACTTGATTTGTCAGTCAGGGGGACACAAAACTTGTACAGTTAACCTAAACATATTGAGTGGGTCAGTTTAATTTCTGCAACAGTATTGAAACCTCTACAAATACCCCACTCCAGAAATCCATTAAAAAAAAAACCTGACATTTCACAAGATATTTAATATACTTTTATATACACAGTAATGTGAATGATTAAAAACACTAAATTGCTCAATGTATCCAGAGGAAGGCAAAATCTTCCAGCTAATTATGTTGGTAAGCTATAAATAGAAAATGCAGTATCCCAGTATTGCACCTTTATTCACAGAAGTACTTAACAAGAGCCACAAAAAAATTTTAAAAACCTTGCATGCACTACAGTTACAAAGATTAATAATAGTGAAAATTTTACTAACATGTCTGAGATTTGCTTTCATATAATTAAGTATGGATGGTACCAATGTACACAGATGAAGCAAAGCAGATCACTGTTGACACTGGCTTATGAGTATAGGAATGCTCAAAACACTATTTTATTTTGCATAATTTAAAATTACCTAGAATAAAAAGGTTTTTAAAAAGCAAAATGCAGGGCTGGGGATATAGCTCAGTGGTTTCGCCGCCTACTGTGCAAATGCAAGGACCCCAGTTCGATCCCCGGTACCAAAAAAAAAAAAAGTAAAATGCAATTTTATCTCTAACATGTCTGTTTGTAAATTGTCTCTTGCCATGGCTGACATTTTAAATCACATAAAAACATTTCAAGTGTTTTTAAAAAATGAAGTATCTCTCAAAAATCCTAATTTTAACATTTTATCTTACATATTTAAGATTTTCCAAAGATATTTTATATTTAAAAAAAGTTTTCAGAAAATTGAAGTATGGAATGATTCTAAAAACTATACATGGAATATAAAAAGCAAAAACATTTTAAAATCTAACTTTAATTGCAAAGAATCTTTAGTAGCTACTAGAATTTAAGGTTTTGCATTTGTAATAACTATTTACTGAGTACCTAATATATGCCAGCTACTTTATAAACAATCTCTAATCCTAAAAAACTCACTTTACAAATAAGAATCAAGTCAGAGAAGCAATATGTTTGTGGTTATATATCATTAAATGGAGAGCTAGAATTAAAATCTAGGTCTAATTCCACAGCTCTCCAAAGCCACGCTCCTCTCATTCATTCAAAAGGTGTCACATGGTGGGCAAAGGTACGGACACTGGGACATTTACTGTAAGTCAAGCAATGTGCTAAGGGTTTTCTTTTTTCTCCCCCCCCCCAAGGATTTTCTTTAAATCCATTTAATCCTCAAAACAACTCTACAATTTAAGTACAACTATTCCCTTCATAGATAAGGACACAGTCTTAGAGGTTAGATAACTTGCTTAAGGTCACTTAACTAACTAGGAAGTGACAGTATAGGAGAGTAAGAACCCTAGGCATTAAGACTCCAAAATCTCAACCACTACATGCCTCAAGGCATGCACAGATAAAAAGGTCCAAGCAGAAATGTGAAGAAAAAACGCTGGAAAGGCTTGGAGGGAAGAAGATTAGGAGCTAGATTATTCCTAGGTCAAGTCTGTCCTCAACCTCATCTAAATAAAAGATACTGTAGCTGGAACAGTAATGCAATGAACAGTAAACTTCGTCAAATCTGGTTCTGATTCTTGCTGTGGGACGAGCAGGAAAGCACCTGCCTTCTTGGAACCTGTTTTATCTTCATATAAAAAAATGGAAATATGTACTGCCGTCTTTCCTCTGAGGTTGGGAAAATGAGGATTTGGCAACAGAACAGCTGACACGACAGACTTTAGGCCATAAAGGGGTAATCAGTTGTAATACAATGCAAACAAGAAAAAAGGAATTAAATTGCCTCCACCCGCCATAGTCAGTTCGTAACCCTGGTCTCAAGCTGCGTAGTACAGAATACACCAGCTAGTGTAGAGAGGCCAATATGAAGAACCATTAACCAGCTACATCTCAACTTCAGGCCTCTGTCGCCCCCCTTCCCTTAGAAAACAGGGTAACTCAACTTATCTCCCAGGGCTCCCCGGGGCAGGATAAACGTGTGAACATACCTAAATCCGTGCCTGGCACAGTAAAATGCAAACCCTTGGAACGCTCTTGATCCATCTCCTTAAATGCTAGAAACGCCAAAACTTTTTCCCCTCTTTAGTTCTAGTTACTACGCAGGATTTGGGCCGTAAAGGAAGTCCACAGGCTTTAGAGGAACTACCAAAACCCAAAGCTCCCAAGCACGAATCCAGAGACCCTGTTCCCACTCACAAGGACACCGAAGCCGGCGCGAGACGCCGGGGAGGCTGCGTGGTGCTGCCTTTTGTGCTCGGGGACAGACGCGGCCTCTAGGGTGGGACTGCCACTTCTGGGGCTCGCGTGGGTAAACACCAAGCGGGCGGCCTGCAGCCTCGGGACAGGCGGCAGCAGAGGGGCCTGCGGGACCGCGGCTCTGCCCCCAGGGCCGGGAGGCTGCAAGAGGCGGGCGAGGCGAACACGACCTTCCCGCACGCCGGAGCCCTGCGCCGGGCCAGGTACCCGAGGGTCCGGGGCAGCGCGGGGGACACCTGCGCCCCCGCACAGCGTCCTGTCAGGCTCCCTCTGCCGACCCCCGGGCCCGCCGAGGGCTGCAGGCCCGGACCCCGGGCGCCGCCCGCCTGCGGCCCTATACGCCGCCGTCGCCACTCCCGCCCCTCGGAAGGGTCGGGCGAGGTGGCCCGGGCCGGACGGACACTGCGGAAGGCCTGGGTTACCTGGGGGGCTGCTGGTGGCTGGGCAGCTTTCCGGGCGGGAGGGGGGCGTCAGGACGAGGAAGAGCAGGGAGGACGCGGCGGGAGAGGGGGTGGGGGCGGTCGGCCGAGGCCCCGGCAGGTAGGCGGGCTGGCCCGGAGGTGCAGGCGCACGGGCGGCAGTAGCGGTGGCAGCGGCGACTGCTCCTGCGGCTCCCTCAGGATCTTCCTCGGGCTGGTCCAAGATGGCGGCGCTCCCTGCACAGGGTTTCCTGTCACCCTCGCAATGGGCCGGACCACAAAAGAAGGGGGGAGGATGCGCGCGCAGCCGGCGAAGCCCGGAAGAGGGTGGAGGCGGCAGGCCTGCTAGCCACGCCCATTCCTCAGTCCTTCCCTCGGACTCGTCGGGCAGCCACGCATCCCGCCCCACTGGCCCTAGAGCCTGAAAGGGCTGGGGAGAGCGTTTAGGCGCAAGCGCGGTCTCGTGTCCTCGCCGCCTCGGGCACTTACTGCACAGGTTCGCGTGCAAACTATGGGTGAGTCTGGGTCTCCAAGAGTGGGGTTGTCACTGTGGATCACTTTCACTGTTTTTAATGAAGAAGCTTCAACTTACCGGATCTTTACCGTGTACTGGCAAATGTGCTTAGCGCACATTAATTGCATTCATTCAAATTCGTGTACTGCTCGCTTCGTACATGGCTATACCGGTTAGCAAGGCAGACTAGGTCCCTGCCAAAGACCCCAGAGACACATCACTCCATGGTGGCCAACCTGAGGCTCGAATTGGTCAACTCACTTGTCCAAGATCGTGCAGCTAGGAGGTGGCCCTTTCTGCCGTGTTCCACCTCTGTCTCTTTTAACCTCTCTTCAGTGGAATTGTGACATTTTTCACAACTTGTCCGCCACGTCCCATCTTCCAACTTGTCCTCTTTTATTGCCACATCAGTCTTGGTTAAAAGCCACGTTTCGACTTTCTTGGGCCCTGGAAATTTTTGCCTTGTGACTTGGTTCATGTAGATTTATTTTTATATTTATGTTTAATTTGTATTTTGCAGTTGTATTTGTATGGAGATAAATATATTAGCCATTTTCTTTGACATTAGAGTTCATTTTTTTCTTCTGATTTTAAAAGAATTTAAAACATTTGTGGGTCTCTAAAAGTAGTGTGGACCCCAAGCATCGTGTTTGCTTGGCTAAGGAATAAGAGCCTCAGAACCCCCAAAATGAAGTTCAGGTTCACTTTTGGCACTTAAGACTTCTTTTTTTTTTTTTTTTGGTACCGGGGATCGAACTCGGGTCCTTGCACTTGCGCAGCAGGTGGTGAAACCACTGAGCTAAATCCCTGGCCCACTTCAGACTTTTGATAAATTGGTTTTGCCATGATCAAATGAGACTTCATTGGAAAAGTGTATGTCAGTTTGTAGATTTATTTTCAGAACGACCTGAACAAATCCTTTTCCTGCAGCCTGCATACCATAATGGTATGCCTTTTAACATCACTTAACTTTTCTACAAAATAAGGACAGTGACTTCTAAATCACATGAGTCCTTGTGAAAATTGAATGAGACAGTACTGTATATGCAAAATGCTACAAGAACTCAAATGGGAATGATTATTATACCATAATTAATGTAAACTGATTTTGAAATTGCTTTCAGCCCTAGAAGTCTGTAATTCTATTCCTAGATTATCTAACGAGTAGTTTGTTGTCACATTTTAACATTTTAGAAATTAAGAAATTTGCCTATGCCAAAATAAAAGAGAAAGCTGCGAGCCAAGTGTAATGACTTGTACAGGTATCAACATGAGACTGGATAGAAAGTTACTATATATGCGACTGTCAACTGAATTGAAATCTTTATGTATAGATAATGTTACAGGAAATAATACCAAAAATTAAATATGAAACATATCTCCCAACCTGTTAACTGTTTGATATGCGGAGTTCTTGTTCTCTAGAAATCAAAGAATGAGTCCAGGAACAAGGGAGGTTAAGAGTAGGAAATATTCATTGGTAGGAAAGCACCTGAGGGCCAGGAGGGGTCCTGAGTGGGTAGCCGGGAAACCAAGTTACAGAGGAGTTTTCGAAGGTAAAACCCACGTGAGTACAGCGTGGGCCACAGCCATGAACATCCAATAAAGTTACAAGTATAGTCGCTTAGGTAATAGTGGTCCAATTGGGAAACAAGTCTCATAACAAGCATGGATGGAAAGATCAAAGATTCTCCTAGGAAGTGGTGGGACCAGAGGTCTCTGGTCACTCACTGGGGTGGCTGATGTCTATCTAGACTTCATTAGGCCCAGAGTTTGTTCTTTGAGGAAGTATGTAGGTCTGGTCATCTTGTCTTTATCTTGAGGCCGGGTTTCCAACTGATGTGTCTCTGTTGCAGCTATGGTGTATTTCACCTTTATCCTGACCCTCTTGAGGACCTAGCCCTATCTGACTGCCTATAATATTTCTACCTAGCTTGGGCCGGGGATTTAGCTCATTGCCTGCCTTGCAAGCGCAAGGTCCTGAGTTTGATCCCCTTTACCTGAAAAAAAAAAAATATA